ACCTCGGCCTCCCAGAGAGCTAGGATTACAGGCGTGAGCCACCGCACCCGGCCTAGCAACATTATTATTAGGATATGCCATAATTATTGATCCTTGTCGATGGATATCTTGGTTGTTTCTACTTGTTATAAATAATAACTATAATGAATATCTTGTACAAATATGTTTGTGTCCACTTCTATAGAATAAATTTCTAAAAATAGAACTTTTTTGATCACAAGGATATACATATTTTTACTTTTGCTATATGTGGCTAGCTAGAGTGCTGTCCTGAAATGTTAGCAATGTCTTCTTGACAGTACTTTATTAATTTCTGAGCAATCTTTCATGATAAGCATGCATCTATTCTTATAGGGAAGTTGTTCATAAGAAGTCAGAACTTGAAATGCAGGAGATTTTTTTAAATGAATATATTTTGGTGAAAGAAACTGTACAGTTTGCAGTTAACATCGCTGGTATTTTTAGATTTATTTATCATCATAGATGTAGGTAATTTAGTGTTGATGTTTCAATTTCAATGTTATGTAATATTTTAGGTTGTCCATTAGTATTTTGCTTTGGGATTTCAGGGTAAATTAATCACTAGAGATTATGTGCATTTTTATTGGTTTCTTAATTTTCAGATGGCCTTATCAAACTAATTATAAGCTCATTTATTATATATCAATTATAGATGTGAATTGTAACTTTGTTTTTACTTTAAGAAAGCTAGCTATTTTGAGGCCATAATCACACCTGTAATCCTAGCAATTTGGGAAACCAAGGTAAGAGGATTGCTAGAGCCCAGGGGTTCAAGACCAGTCCAGGAAACATAGTGAGACCCTGTCTCTACAAAAAATAAAAATAAAATTAGCTGGTGTTGGTAGTGTGTGCCTATAGTCCCAGCTACTTGGGAGGCTGAGGCAGGAGGATCTCTTGAGCCCAGGAGTTTGAGGTTGCAAGGAGCTATGATGATGCCACTGCACTTTAGCCCTGGCAACAGAGCAAGACCATGTCTCAAAAAAACAAAATCAGAAGAAAAAAGAAAGCTAGCTATTTTGAAATGTAATTTTCAAAATTTACTTGCAGAACTAATTTGTCAGGCTTTTAAGTCTTATAGACATTTTGACAGGTTAGATAAGTCACTACTATGGACACGTATATTTAAGTGTTTGTCCTGTGATTGCATAAAAATCTTTGTGCCTTTTCTTCATAGGCATGCATTCCTCAGCAGCAACTGAGCTGTTTGTTACTGGACCTTTGCCAAGCACTGGAACACTTCCACCATCTGCCCTCCCTGCTTATCAGCATCCCAACACCTTCAGCAATAGAAACTTTGCTACCACCTCACCTTTGGTGCTTCAGGACTCAACTTTTAACACTACATCAAATGGAATTTTAAATCCTCATGACCCTTTGCTACAAATCAAGACTTCCCAGGGAACTGTTCCAACTGCTTTAGCATTCGAGCGCCTGGGCAGTTCTGCATTAAGTAACAATATACCACCTCAGTCTTCAACGTATCGCTCAGCTCAAGAATCTGCTCCCCATCTTTTACAACCTCAGTTTAGTTTGTTGCCTTCAGGACTTGGGGGAGCCCAGCAAACTCCTCAAGCCTACAGTTCAACTCTCTTTACTAGTTCTACTGCTTCCATTGAAAGAGCTCTCCTTCGAGAATGTAGTGTTATTAAACACCATCAGCGGCCTTCAGGTACCCAGTCTATTCAGGCACAACTGACTGGTTCACAGCACTCCTTACATAGTTATCTATCAAATGCAAGTGTAGTTAATTTTCAGGAAACAACCAGGCAGTCATCTTTATCCTGTAGCGCAATTGGAGATTCCACTCAGGTGAGCAATGGAGGATTGCAACAGAAGACCTCCCAGGTCTCAGTGGAGCTTGCTCAGTCTTATTCATCCGTAATTCCATCGTCAGGGTATCTTCCTTCTACTACAAAAGTAAAAAGCTGTTCTATAGAACAACCACTAACATCAACTAAGAACCCCAAACCTCAGAGTATAATTCCTCCTGTGCAAACACTAAGCTATTCCACACCTTTACATAACCAGAGTTCTGTAATATCGGGCCAAGCACAAATTTATTCTACAGCGCAGCTACCAAGCCTTTTATCAGTTAGTCAGTCCCAAAATTATGGTTTAGTACAGCCACATAATGTGCCATCTATTGTTCATTCACAGGTTTATAGGTCCAGCAAGGTTGAGAAATTGCCATCCTTATATAAAACATTGACTTTTTCTGGGTCATCTCAGACTATAACTTCTGAAAATCAGACACTCAGTTATTCATCTAATCAGCAAGAGGTATTATCTTCAGTCACAAATGAGAATTTCCCTGCTCAGACTAGAGATCTGTCTTCAGTCAGTCAGTCTCAAAGTTATTCATCAGGTCACTCTCAGGGTTTATCACCAGTTAGCCAGACGCAGGTTAGTTACTCATCTCAATCACAAGTTTTGTCAGTTGTTAGTCCTTCGGAAAGCTATGCTTCAGGGCAGTCCCTGACATTAACAGCCCCTTCTCTTTCTTACTCTTCTGCCTCTCGGGCTCAGAATTTGCCAGATTCTAGCCCAACCCAAAATTATATTTCTGTGCATTCTTCCCAAAATGTTCAGACTCAAGAGTCATCATCTCCCCAGTCCCAGAAGTTTTTGCCTGCTGTCCAGTCACCTTTTGCATCCTCTACTCATTGTCAGACATTGCAGAATAACATACCTTCCCCTGATCCAACGTCTTACGCTGAAAGAAAACTTGATTCGGATGTGTATACATCTTCAAAGCAAGAAGACGATTTTCCAATGCAAGAGTTACAAGTATTGCAGCCACAAGCATCTCTTGAGTCGTCAACCCAGAGGCTGTCTGATGGGGAAATTAATGCTCAAGAATCAACTTACAAGGTGTCAAAAGCAGATGACAGATATTCTCAGAGTGTAATCAGAAGTAATTCCCATCTTGAAGATCAAGTTGTTGGGATTGCTCTACAAGGATCAAAAAAAGAAGAAAGCATGATTGGTTCAGTGACACAAATTAACCAACAAATTGTCCAAGTCAATAATGCAGCCACCCTTGATCTTAAGAAAGGAACTAATTTAATACAAACTCCACAAGTAAGGTTGAATGCTAAAGACCTAAACCAGCAGCATTCTCTTGTACATAAGGTGCATGAAACCAAGGTCCAGGAACAGCATGATCAAATAATTAATGCCTCATCTCAAGTTCAAATTCCAAATCATGCTTTAGGACATGGCCATCAGGCATCACTTCCTAATACACAAGTCCTTTTAGATTCTGCCTGTGATTTACAAATCCTTCAGCAGTCAATATTGCAGGCAGGTTTAGGACAAGTAAAGGCATCTTTACAAGCACAGCGTGTTCAAAGTCCTCAACAAATAGCACATCCTTTCCTTCAGATGGATGGTCATATTATTCAGAGCAATGGTGATCATTCTCAGCAGCAGCTCCATCCTCAAACTTCGGAAATTATGAAAATGGACCTCTCTGAGTCTTCAAAACAATTACAACAACATCTAACAACAAAGGGCCATTTTAGTGAAACAAATCGACATGATTCAAAAAATCAGTTTGTTTCTCTTGGATCAATATGTTTCCCAGAGGCAATGCTTCTCAGTGATGAAAGAAATATTTTATCAAACGTAGATGATATTTTAGCAGCTACAGCAGCAGCTTGTGGGGTTACACCTTCTGATTTTTCCAAGTCAACTTCAAATGAAACTATGCAGGCTGTTGAAGATGGTGACTCTAAATCTCATTTTCAGCAGTCATTAGATGTCAGGCATGTGACTTCTGATTTTAACTCTATAACAGCTACAGTTGGAAAGTCACAGAATATAAATGAAATTTCCTTAAATGGAAATCAAGTTACTGTAAACCTTTCACCAGTCCCCACCCTTCAGTCAAAAATCACTCTTGAACAACAGCACATTGAAACACCTGGTCAAAATGTACCAACTAAAGTAACTTCAGCAGTGGTTGGACCAAGTCATGAAGTCCAGGAGCAAAGTTCTGGCCCATTCAAGAAACAGTCTGCTGCCAATCATGAATCTGAAGAAGACAGTGAAGTTCCTGTTGATAGTACATTACATAATAACAGAAACCAAGAGTTTGTTTCTAGTAGTCGAAGTATAAGTGGAGAGAGTGCTACATCAGAGAATGAATTTACCTTAGGGGGTGATGACAGTGGTGTGTCAATGAACCCAGTTAGGAGCACACTTGCACTGTTGGCCATGGCCCAACCTGGGGATGCAATCAGTGTCAAGATGGAAGAAGAAAATCAAGATTTAATGCCTTTTAACCTTCAGAAGAAAACAGCTAAAGGAAAAGGGCAAGTTAAAGAGGAAGACAACAGTAATCAGAAACAGCTGAAAAGACCTGTCCAAGGCAAACGCCAGAATCCAAGGGGAACAGATATATATTTACCATATACTCCTCCTTCCTCGGAAAGCTGCCATGATGGTTATCAGCATCAAGAAAAAATGAGGCAGAAGATCAAAGAAGTGGAGGAAAAACAACCAGAAGTCAAAACAGGATTTATTGCTTCTTTCTTAGATTTTCTGAAATCTGGGCCCAAGCAGCAGTTTTCCACTCTTGCTGTACGAATGCCTAACAGGACTAGACGGCCAGGGACCCAGATGGTTCGTACATTTTGTCCCCCACCACTTCCAAAGACTTCATCAACACCCACACCTTTAGTGTCTGAAAGTGGGGGTAACGGTCCATCAGAAAAAGTTGATAATGAACTTAAAAATTTGGAACATTTATCTTCATTTTCTTCTGATGAAGATGATCCTGGAGTATGCAGTCATGATATTTATAAAAGCGTCTCTACTCCTTTAACTGCTTTGGATGCTACTTCTGATAAAAAGAAGAAAACAGGTAAAGTTTTAGATTTTTGATTCACAATTATGACTTTCTACTATTATTTTTCTAACTATAGTCTGCATTTTAAGCTTTTTTAGCTTAAAGCAGGTTTACAAATAAATCTTCAGGACAAAATACATAGGTAGGTATCTTAGGGACTTGTTTCTTTTTTTTTTTTGCCCAGGCTAGAGTGAGTGCCGTGGCGTCAGCCTAGCTCACAGCAACCTCAAACTCCTGGGCTCAAATGATCCTTCTGCCTCAGCCTCCCGAGTAGCTGGGACTACAGGCATGCGCCACCATGCCCGGCTAATTTTTTCTATGTATTTTTAGTTGTCCGATTAATTTCTTTCTATTTTTGGTAGAGACGGGGTCTTGCTCTTGCTCAGGCTGGTTTCGAACTCCTGAGCTCAAACAATCGGCCCCCCTCGGCCTCCCAGAGAGCTAGGATTACAGGCATGAGCCACTGCGTCCGGCCAGGACTTGTTTTCTTTTTAAAATTTTCCTTGCCCATAGAATAGATCTGGGTTTTAGGTTGAGTAGTTCTGGTTTCTCTTGGCTTTGTGACATAGGCAGCATAATTTATGCAGTATGCTAGCCAGACTTCTCTAATCTAAGACATCTTAAAGTAGTTTATGGCTATGAGGCACTGTATTGGGGGTCCTGTTGTAGTACAAACCTAGCATATTTTCTTGGTATGCCAATTTTACCTGAAGATGAACATTTTAGTATTAAATATGGTTATGTCATATGCAATGTGCACATTTTATAATTAAGATAAAATTTTTAAATTTTGTGCTGGCATCAAATTATATACCCAAATCTTTGGGTATGTGTTTCACTTTACTCTGTGGTTAAGGGAACTTGAGAGGAAATGTTTAAGAAGCAGTACCTTATGTAAAATAATTGATGGGTAAGTATAAAAGTTACTTTTTTAAGAAACATGCCAAAGAGAAATTTATAACAATAATATAGCTACCATGCCTCTACCAGCTACCAAGAACAGTAACAATGTTGTGAGATATGCATTGTTTTCTCCAGTACACAGATGATACAACAGAGTAAATGAATTGTGTAGGTTGAGCAGCTACTAAATCACAGAGCTGGAATCTGAACCCAGGTTTGTCTGGTTCTAGAGCCTGTCTTCCTGCTGAGCTATTTAGTACCAAGAGGGTGGTACTTTAAGAGTTAAACTTTGTTTAGTAATGTACTTCTCATCTTCTCTCTGGCTTTGAGACTACCTTTTATCTACTAAGATGATGTGAAACAACTGGTGCCTGATAATACATTTGTAAAGAATTCTCATTTTGTTACACAGGGAAATTAGCATAACGGAAAGTCAGTCTTAGGTTCAAAGACATTACTGTGGATGCAGCTAATCCTAGCTCCCCTTTCCCCAATTCAGAGTGCTTTGCAATTGTTATTATATTCCCTTTTACATTCCTAGAGCAAACCTTTTATAATCTCTGTTCTAAAACATGAGTCTAAAACTAGTTTCTTCTGGACAGCCATTATCTCATTTTAGTTAAAATTATCACTGTCAACCCAGTCCTTAACTCTTAGGTCTTTGAAATTCTGTTTTTACCACCCTTATTGCGTAATCTGCAAGAACCCATCATCTCTTACTTGAACTATTGCTACAACATTCTACTTTCATTAGAATCGTCCTCCTCATTCCATCCTCCACATTGTCATCGGATTTATCTTTGTATAAAAGGAAAGCTGATTGTTACTTCTGCTATGAAACACCTCTTTATACTTCATGGGAAAAAATAAAGAAAATATGAAAAAGTTTTCTTTTTCCCATAGTTTTACTCTTTCCACTTTCCTTCTTCTGTAACTACTGATTTTCTCATTGTTTCTCGGACGTCTAACCCCCTTTCAGGATTTGAGCCTTTGAACAGATTTTTCTCCACCTGGGCTGCTCCCTTCTCCATTTTTTAGTCCAGCAGACACTTAGTTATCTTTCAAAACTATTTTCAGAGTCATTTTGTGGAAGCTACTCCAGGCAGAATTAGTGCTCTTTTTCTTTGAATTCCCACAGCCCTTAATTGTCTATGAAAGCATTTACTTTTGTGTTTTAATTTAGTCATTTACACTTCTATATATTTCATTAGTGTGAGTTCCTTTAGGCCAGTGAATGGTTATAGTTAAGAATTTAGGCTTTAGAGTTAAATCACCTTAGGTGCAAATCCTAGCTTAATAGTGGTGTGACTTTAGGGTGTGTTCCTCATCTGTAAAATGGGACTGTGATATAGTATATAGTATCCTTCTCGTAGGGTTTTTGAGAGAATTCAGAGACATGAGATTTATAAATTTGGAAAGGAGAACTTTATTTCTTATGATGAGTTGCAGCCTGCCTGCTGAGAAGCAGAATCTCCAGGTGAGACCGAAAACAAGCAGGAAGGAAGGGTGAGACAGGAGTTTTATGCTACACAGGTTGGCTAAACATACATATTTAACAGGTTATGGGAGGAGCTATGAAATTCATGAAAGGGGGTTGCACACATGTGTGATAGGCAAACATGTATGTCACATATATCCTATGTTCACTTTGGGGGACAGAGTTAACATTAAAATGAAGTAAAATTATACTTCAAAAGGTGAAACTTAGGACACAAGGCACTTTGTGTGCAGCCTCCAGCCAGAACCAGTCTAGGGTCGGTGGTCATTTATTAGGGAGGAATGCTTTGTAAGCTGGTCGACCTTCGTTGTTGAAATTGCAACAAAAGAGGGGTCTGGCTAAGGCACCAACCTGGTTGAATTTTAAATCAGTGGAGGAGTCTTCTGTTCTTTTTATTTTTTCAGGGCCGGTTTCTGTTTAACTCTTAGGAAAAAAGGTCTGATAAAGGTTAGTGAGGAAGCATGACTGACCTCCCATCACCTCATGGCTGGGAAACTTCATTTTTAAAGTTTTTCTGGGGTCTCCTTGGCCAAGGGAGTCTGTTCAGTCAGGGGAGTTTAGGATTTTATTTTTATTCCACAGTAGATACCCAATAAATGTTTGTTGAATGAATGAGGATATATAAAAGAAAAGTAGAACATTAAGGTAACCATGAGTTAAGGTTAAATAGTTGGGTCTTGCTTTTAATTTTGTGACTAGAATTCTGAGTTTTGCACATATGTTGAACAATATCAGTTTAAATGAAGTCATAGGATATGATGGGCCTGTAGTACCCCATATTTCATAATTCCATGGTAATTAAGTTACAAGTAGGGATGCCAATTTCTAAATACTTGAAATCTTTTCTGGAACATATGGCTTGTTGCCAGCTTTTGTAGACTACTGTAGCCATTCCTAGTATATGAAGATGTCTTTAGTTACAGCTGTTTTCTCCTTTTTTGGACTTTAAATTATTTATATGCCTAACGGGCATGTTCCTTGCTCTAAAATAATAGTATTTTCTAGTAAAGTTTGTGATGAAATAATTGTCTATAAAATAAAAATTACTGGCTTAAGAAGAAAACACAATGAAACTTTATCTGGGATCCATGTACACTAAGTGCTAGGCTCTTTTAGCCAAGATGGTGTACAGTTGTCTAACTGATTTCTGTATTTGTGTTGAAAAGACCAATGGGATATAAAAAGAGGAAAACCTGTTTGAATCCCAAAACTAGAGATGGGTGCTGTTTTCACTGGTCCCTACTCCCTTCAAATTGTATTCAAGTGAAGTAAAAAACTAGTTTTTATACTACTAAAACGTTTCTGAATCTGTATCAAATACCTTTATTATTATTGAGCCAACGGAAGCATTGGCTAGTTATAATTTAATTTCATTCAAGGTGAGTGGCATATTTGCCTATGGATTTGCACAACTTATTTTAGGACTTTTTTTTTTTTGTAGATTTCATAGGATTTTCTGTGTAGAAATATATGAAAATTATATCATCTGCAAATAAGAACAGTTTTATTTCTTCCTTTCTAATCGTTTGCCTTTTTTATTCCTGTTTTAATTCACAGGTTAGGACTTCAAGTATGTTTAATAAGAGTCTTGAGTGTGGACATCCTAGTCATGTTCTCAGTCTTTGGGGCATAGAAATAAGTCTTTTACCATTAAGTCTGATTTTAACTGTCAGTTTTTGTAGATGCCTTTTGTCAGGATGTTCCCTACTTTGCCTTGTTTGCTGACAGTTATAATGAATACAGGTTGAATTTTGGCAATGCTTTTTCTTTGCTTAGATGATCATGCAGTTTTCTTATTTAGTCTGTCAATATGGTGAATTGCATTGATTGATTTTCTGATTTATTTTCAGGCTTGCATTCTGTGGATAAACTCTACTGATTGTGATATATTATCTTTTTTATACATTGATGGATTCAGTTGTCTGATATTGGTGAGGATTTTTGCATCTATGTTCACAATGGTTATTGTTCTGCAGTTTTCTTTTTGTAGTCCACTTTTCTGGTTTTGGTAAGGGGTAATTGCTAACCTCATAACTGAGTTGGATAGTGTTCCCTTCTTTTCTGTGTTCTGCAAGAGATTGGGTAGTCCTATTTCTTCCAAAAGTGTTTGGTCAGATTTGCCAGTGAAACCATTTGGACCTGGAATTTTCTTTGTCAAAAAATTTTTCAATAAGAATTCAATTCCTTTGATACAGAGCTATTCAATTTGTCTATTTCTTCTTGACTATGTTTTGTTAGTTTGTATCTTCGAAGGAATTGACTCATTTCATCTAAGTTGTCAAATATGTGGGTATAGAATTGCTACTAATAGTAGCATTCCCTCATTATCTTTTTAATGTCTGTAGCATCTGTAGTGATTCCTCCCCTCTCATTTCTGATGTCAGTAATTTGAATTTTTTCTCTATTCATCTTGGTCAGTCTGGATAGAAGTTTATCAATTTTATTGATCTCTTTAAAAGATCAGCTTTTAGTTTCACTGCCTTTTCTCCTTCGTTGACAATTTCATTGATTTCTACTGTTCTCATTATTTAATTTCTTTTGCTTTGTTAAGGTTTATTTTGCTTTTCTTTTCCTAGTTTTTTTTTTTTTGGTAGAAACCTCTATTACTGATTTG